TATCATCATCATCATCATCATCATCATCATCATCGTCATCAGCATCAGCAGCAGGAGCAGCATCCTCATCCGCATCCTCATCCTCACCCTTATCACCAACACCATCATCGTCATCACCATCAGCATCAGCACCAGCACCATTATCATCATCATCATCATCATCATCACCATCATCGTCATCAGCATCAGCATAATCTGCGTCATCAGCATCATAATCATAACTAGCATCACCACCATCGTCATCATCATCATCGGCATCATCGTCATCGTCATCATCATCGAAAGCATCATCCTCAGCATTAGCATCGTCATCATCAACAACATCCTAAAACATCAGCAGCAACATCAATATCATCATCATCATCATCACTATCATCATCATCATCATCATCATCACCAGCATACGCATTATCATAATCATAATCATCGGCTTCGTCGACGACGTCGTCTTCGTGGTCGTCATCAACGTCGTCGTGGTCGTCATCAACGTCGTCGTCGTCGTCGCTGCCGCCGTTTTCATCATCAGCAGTATCATCATCATCATCATCATCATCATCATCATCATCATCATCATCAGCATCATCATCATCATCATCATCAGCAGCAGGATCATCATCAGCATCATCATCATCAGCAGCATCATCAGCATCATCACCAGCATCATCATAAGCATTAGCATCAACGTCAGCATCAGCATCATCATCATCAGCAGCATCATCATCAGCATCAACATCGTCATCGTCATTGTCATCATCATCGTCATCAGCAGCATCATCACCATCAGCATCATCATCAGCATCATCAGCAGCATCAGCACCAGCACCAGCAGCAGTAGCAGCAGCAGCAACATCAGCATCAGCAGCATCATCATCGTCATCTGCATCATCATTATTATCACTATCATCATCACCATCATTATCCGAGCCCACGCGTGTCGTTTTCCCTTTGACGGCAAAACCGGGAGCCGGGAGAAAGTCCTGCTCAACCTCTGGGACATAAACTTGATCAGATGAACTATGAGGTCCTGGGAGCACGATGCGTCAATGTCCGCGTCACGCGGGTCAGCAACTATATGTGAGATTGTATCGACGATCGAGGCGGCCATCTCCATCATCCCTGTCTTCTCTGTATCCTTCTCCCCCTCCTCCTCCTCCTCCTCCCCCGCTTCCCCCGCCTCCCCTTTTGAACTCCTCCCCCTCCGCCTCTTCCTACTCCTCCTCCATCCGCCTGCTCATCCTCATCCTCCTCCAGCCTCCCCCCTACGCGCCTGTAGACGTCGTCGTGGTCGGCGCCGCCTTACTCTTCACCCGCCGTGCCATAAACATCGTCGCCGTCGCTATCGTCATCATCATCATCATCAGCAGCATCAGCATCATCATCATCATCAACAGCAACATCATCAGCAGCAGCAGCATCATCATCAGCATCCTCATCATCATCATCAGCATCAGCATCACCATCATCAGCATCATCAGCAGCAGCATCTTCATCGTCACAATCATCGTTAGCATCATCGTCATCATCACCATCATCATCATAATCATCGTCATTAGCAGCACCATCACCACCAACACAATCATCATCACTATAGCCATCATCATCATCAACAGCAACAGCATCACCATCATCATGAGCATCATCATCGTAATCATCATTAACATCAGGATCGTCCCTATTATCCGTACCATCACCATCACCATCACCATCACCATCACCATCATCATCATTATCATCATCATACTCATCATCATCGTAATATTCAGCTTCATCATCATCATCATCATCATCGTCATCATCGGCACCATCAGCATCATCATCATTATCATCATCATAATCAGCAGCGTCCACATAATCATAGTCGACAACACTATCACCGTTACCATCACCATCATCATCACCACCAGCATCATCATCAGCATCATCAGCATCATCAGCAATATTATCATCAGCATCATCAGAATGATACTCATCATTATCAACATAAACATCGTCACCAGCATGATCATCAGAATCATCATCATCACTAGCATCATAATCATCATCAACAGCATCCTCATCACCATCATCATCATCAGCATCATCATTACCATCAGCATCGTCATCATCACCAGCATCAACATCATCATTAACATCGTCATCATCGTCATCGTCCGCATTATCATCATAATCGTCATCATCATCAGCATCAGCATCATCATCAGCATCATCATCATGATCATCATCAGCATCATCATAATCATCATCATAATATTCAGCTTCATCATCATCATCATCGTCATCATCAGCACCATCAGCATCATCATCATTATCATCATCAGAATCAGCATCGTCCACATAATCATAGTCGACAACACTATCACCGTTATCATCACCATCATCATCACCACCAACATCATCATCAGCATCATCCCGCTAGGCCCTAAACAGTGTTTGCACGTTGGGGGATCAGACTCCGGTGTTCTAAATAATTGGACGGGTCTGCCGAGGATGCTCCGCGTTAGCTCCACGTGCCTACTCATGGGCGCTCCGTGGGCGCCTCGTGGGCGCCCGTGCCCGGGGTGGGTCCGCCGAAGTTTCGCCTCGCTGGCGCCCCGTACCCGCCCGTGGGCGCCTCGTGGGCGCTCGTGGGCGCCTCGTGGGCGTTCGCGGGCGACCAGTACCCTGGCTGGGTCCACCGAGGATTTGCCTTGTTGGCGCCCCGTGCCCACCCGTGGACGCGTCGAGGCCGTTCGTGGGCGCCCCGTGCTCTGGGTGGATTCGCCGAGGGGCTATGTTCTGACACCTCTCCTCCTCCATTCCTGGTCCCGATTAATAACTCCTCCCTGCCGCACCCCGAAGCCGGTCGAAAGGGCGAGCTGGGCGTCTCGCCTGACACTTCCTCACCGCTTATGATCCTGAAGCTTAAAGCTAGCAACAGCTTCCCGGATGGAGGGCAGGTCATTTTCAAAATGCTGCTCTTGCCTGAGCGCCGCGCGCATCCGTCTTCAAAAAATGAAAGAGCTTCACGGATGGAGGGCAGGTCACTTTCAGAATGCGGCTCTCGCCTTAGCGCCGCGCACGCTCGTATCAAAATGCGCAAAAACTTCACGGATGGAGGACTGTTCCTTTTCAAAATGTAGTTCTCGCCTTCGCGCCGCGCACGCTCGTATTAAGAATGCGCAAAAGCTTCACGGATGGAGGGCGGGTCGTTTTCAACATGTGGCTCTCGCCTTAGCGCCACACACATCCGTCTTGAAAAATTGCAATGGATTCACGGACGGATGGCTGCTGCTTTTCAAAGTGTGGCTCTCGCCTCAGCCCCGCGGACGTTCGTCTTACAAACACATAGGAGCTTCACTGATGGAGGGCGGCTCCTTTTCAAACAATGAACAGCTTCACGGATTAAAATGGCTACCGTCCCAGAAACGGTGCCTTGGCACGATGTTGGCCTGTCAGGGCGTAACAAGTCCTTTGATTCGTTAATGTTGAAGTCACAGGAACGGTTTTCTGGCTCGATGCAGGATCGCTAAGACGCACTAGCAACAGAGATTCGCGGCGTTGCAATGGCAGCAATGGTGTTCTGGCAAAGTTCATGATTGTCAAGCGATGATTTTTTAAGGGGCACTTCCTTGAGTGAAAATGAATCCCTGTAGGGAACTAGGAAGAGGGAACTTAGAGGTAGGATGTTTTGCACTATCGATGATGAGTCTTGGGCTTACTCTCCTCGTCCTCCTTCTCCTCCTCCTCCTCCTCCTGGCGCTCGAATCCCCAGAGGCTGGAACATTGGAAGAACGCGGGGATTGGAAACCCAATGCGCACCCTGGCTGGGGACGTCGAAAAACCTCGACCCCTCGGTCCTCGCGACCCTCGATCCTCGGCCCTCCAGCTCGACAAGACCCACCCACCCGCCGCGGCCTCTTGCCCCCAGCCTCTCTGGCGTCAGGTCCATGCGGGCTGGGCGCCCTGGGTCGCGCGCCCTCGCGCGCGCCCCTGCAGCGCCACTGCGGCCGGCCCCTGGACAACAAAAGGGCACCCCCTTGGGCAGAAAAAGGCCTGAGGGGTCGTTATGCTGTCCCTCGACTCGCGCTGGAGCGTCCACGATTTGCTCCAGCTCTCCCTGGAGATCTCCGGATTCGCCTCGATTTGTCCGGAGCTGCCTCGATTTACTTGGATTGACCTCGATTCATCATTTGGCCTGATCCCCGCAAGTCGATCGAAGAAGAGTCGTCAAGCCCTCAGGGACCCTTCCTCGCGCGCGCCCGGGGGCACCACGGCGCCCGCCACGGGCCACGCTGAGCAGGGAACCCCCGACCCTTCGCCGCCGTGCCCCCCGCCGCTGCCACCCGCCTGCTCTCTCGCCTCGTAAGACAAAGCAAGGACCGGGGGAAAATCGGACTGGGACAAGTGGGGGACCTCTGAGACACGGCGACTCTGGAGGATGTGTCTGGCTCCGCGGCCGTTCCGGAGCGCTCGTGAACGCTCTGACAGCGTTCCGAAACGCTCTGGAACAAATTATCCCGGTCCTGGAACCGCCCGACCTCGCACTCACCTCGCTCTCCCTCTGAGGGGCAACGATGGGAGGGGGGGGGGACAGGCTCGGGGGGGGACTATCGACCTGGAGTCGGCGGTGCGTCGCCGATAACTCGGCGATGGGCCCCCGACAGCGAAATCGCACGCTCCTGGGCGGGGTGGGCTATCGGGCCCCTCTCGGCGACCAATGGGCGACCGGGGGTCGACGCACCCCCCCGCTGAACATATCACCCTTAACGTTGCCCCCGATGCTCCTCTCTGCCCAACGTGCCTCCATCCCTGTCTCTGTCGCTGCCTCTGTCCCCGTCCCTGCTCCTGCCCACTGTGCGTGGGTGGGGCAGTGGTCGGGAAGGGGGAGGATCCAGAAGAGAGCTCGAGCACCCGCGCACGCTCGCTTCGGACAGGACCAGGCTCCCCCTGTGGGGCGTTCTTATGCTTATCCTCCTGGCCAATCGGCGAACAGGTGCCCGGAGCGAGTCGCGTTCGTCCGTGATATTGCTAATATGTTTCTTCATCCCTCTCTCCTGCTCCTCCTCCTCCTCCTCCTCCCCCTCCTCCTTGTCCCCCCTCCTCCTCCTCCTCCTAAACCTCCTCCTCCGCCTCCTCCTCCTCCTCCAGGCCTCCGCCCCTCCCCTCACTCTGACCGACGAGATTCACGGCACTGGGGCTTCCGATGAAAGGGGAGAGAGGAGGAAAGGAAGGAAGCGGTGGGCAAGGATGCAAAAAGAGACGGCCCCATGCCTGCCTGGGCGGCGCCGCTGTCAGCTCGAGGCTGGCACTGGGGGGGCGAAAGGGTACCGATACCGCTGCTCACCAGACCTCCCCCTGGGTGCGCTCTGACCACCGTGCCGAAGAGCATCCAGCCGTGGCGACGAGGGCTCCAAGAGGACGAGCAGCGGCATCGGCATCCCTCCCCCAGGGGACACGGGGCATGGTGCGCGCGCGCGGAGGGCGTCTCGCGAAGCCCCGTCGCACGCGGCACGCGCGCCCCCGCGGCCGCCACACCTCGAGTCGAGGAGCTCGAACAGCTCCCGGGCCCGCTCCCTCGGCACGTCCCCTGCGAGGTCCGCGCCGATGCGGGGGTTCGCCTCCAGGATGCACATGCCGCCGCCTCGTGGAGGGCCCGCGCGCGAGCACGGGGAGGCGGAGGGCCCGCGCAGAGGACGGGGCGGGCGGCCCCCCGAGAAGGCCCGGGGGGGCGGGGGGGGGGGCTCCCGAGAGGCCAGGCGCCCACTGCTCTTGCTCAGAGGGCCGCCCCGCTCGCGCCGCGTCCGCGCGTGCGCGCTGCTGCCTCTCCGCGGCGCGCACGCCGCCGCCGCCGCCGCCGTCGTCGGCGCCAACAGCGTCGCTGTCGCTGGCGGCGTCGTCCTTTGGGAGTTTCTGCCCCGCTCAGTCAGCAGTGAAAACAGGGCTAGGATCGGGATAAATCGCTCCAGAGCGTTCCGGAGCGCTCTCAGAGCGTTCCGGAACGCTCTGGGGCGGCCGCGGCGCCCGATACATCCTCCAAACCCGCCGATTCTCAGAGATTTCGAGTTATCCCGATCCGACTTTGTCCCGATCTTCGCGTCGTTTTAGCAGTGCTCTTTGGAGGGGTCCCAGCGAATGCTGAAGGATTCGGTGCGAGTCCGCCGCCGACCTCCCGCTTGGGAGCCTGGTTCCTGGGCTGTCGGGTCCGGGCTCCTGGGCTTGGGGCTCCGTGCCTGCGGCCGGTCTCATGGGGCACCGGTGGCACAGACAGACTAGACAGAGCCTTTTTTTTGGATTCGGGCAGATTTACTTGCATGGCGTTCGCCCCCCCCCCCCCCCCCCCCCTCGCCCCTCTTCAAGCGAATACTAGCGTGCAAGTGCCTTTCGACTTGCGTGATTTCCGCGCCCCCCCCCCCCGGGCTTGCTTCAGGCTCAGCCCCCCCCCCCCCGTCCATGCAAGTAAACTTGCCAGAGTCTAAAAAAAACAGGCTCACAGTACAGGGTAGAGAGCACAGAGCAGAGAACCGAGGGTCGAATCCAATTCTCCTGGCAAGCCCACCAGCCTGCCCAACCAACCCGCACGCTCACTCGCCGAGCAGCCCAGCACGCCACCCCGCCAACCCGCCTACCCCTGCTGCCTGCCCTCCAGCACACCGAGAAGGCAAGAACTATCCCCCACTGGCGAAAACGAAACAATCAGCCTCGGCGGAACGGCCGAGGGAGGCGAAAGCACTGCAGAGAGCAAAGAGTGGAGAGCGGTGAGTAGAGGGCAGAATAGATAGCAGAGAGTACAAAAGATGGAGTAGAGAGTAGAGAACGGAGATGGCCATGTTCGTCATCCTTTGCCCTCGCCCGCGACCAGAATACTGTCCTCGCATGCTTCGTATGAAAAGCGTGCGTGCTTACGTGTCTTGTGTAGACGGACGTGCCCGGAGGTTCTCATCGCCACGGCTGGGCGCATCCTGGAGAACTACAGTCGGACTCGCTTGGACAGGACACGCGAGAGGACACAGGACCATTCCGAGGGCCATATTGCCACAGGAATGGTAGGAAGCATGGGTCGCGAGACACAGGACACAGAGGTACCCTTGATTTGGCAGGGTCGACCTACTAATCTGGGCCGACTGTAGCCAGGATCGACTCCAGGAGGGATCCGAAGACAGGCTCGGAACGGACGCTGGTCGGGGCTAGGGGGAGAGGGGGCGGTCTTCCAAGAAGGCGGGGTGCCCCTTAGGAGAAGCCCCGCACATTTCCTCAGTCGCGGTAAATTCGCGCATCGCGCCCAGCGATTCGCGACGCGCGGGTAGCTTCGCGCTCTCGCGTCATCGCGCCACCCCTCTGGAGAAGAGCAACCGCTCTGGCCAGGCCGCGCCGTCGCCCTGGAGAAGGGCGCCTCTCCAACCCAAGCCGCGATGCGCGAAGCGCCTTCTCTCTCTGCTTGCTGTGTATGTAAAATCCGCCGACCCGGAGTGTGAGTCCAAAAGAGCCTGAGCTTCAGCTCAGCTCTGCTGGGGGGGATCGGGGTGGCTCCGCCTGGGAGGGGGGAGAGGGTGGGGGAGCATGTACTAATCTCCCCCCGCACCCCAGGGACCCATTTTGCCATTGATCATCGAACTAGCCTTGCAGACGTGCTGCAGCGGATTTTTGCGTGAATTCCTGCGTGCATTGTTTCCCGAAACGGCGATCGAAAAACGAAGTTAATTTCGCGTGGATTTGCTTTGTTTTTATCCCTGGCCAAAAAGAATCCGCACGAACTTCACCTCGAAATCCGGAGCGAAATTCTCCAGGACACTCCTGGCCCATCCTATTGTTTTCCAAACGACATCCGCTCTGCGGTGTTGGCGCCATGACATTGATCTGCCCATCCCGAATACGTGAAGGAGGGTCCCAGAGACCCCCCCGGAACTGGGGGGAGGGAGCCGGAGCCCCCCTCCCTCCCCCGCGGCGCCCCGCGTACCAGGAGAGAGCCGCGGATCGACGGCACTGGCTGGAGGCCGCCCAAATAAGCATACAGCGTGCTAAAATGCAAGAGAAGCCTTCTCTCAGCTTGTAGTTGAAGTTGCAGATGCCGCTGTACCCCTCCAAGAACTGGCGCATCACATCGAGGTGGCTCGGGTCTGCATCGTGCAGCCGCTTGCTGACCTCGCGCACACGGGGCCAGATTTTCGGGAATCGCTGAAGGTGTCCCTGGCCCAAGGTGTCTCAGCTTGTCGTCTATTCTGGAGCCCCTGGGAGCCTCCTGGGCCTCGTGGGGGGTGCTCTGGAGGCCATGGAGGTCTCTCTAGAGCTGCTGGGGACACCGGGTGCCAGGGACACTTCTGGCAGCACCCGAGATGTACGCGGCGCTGTCGTACTCGTACTCGATCGTCACGGCGTCCAGTACATCCCCTTCCTCCACCAGGAGCGAGGTAGACCGCTCCAGCGGCCCGGGGATGAGCTCCTGCAGCACCCAACGAGGCTCCAGCTCACTGTCGTGGATCACGCCGTAGACGTCGTCGGTGCTGTTCACGATGGACGCGCCGGAGCCGTACGCCCCGACTGCAGGTTTCAGGATACAAGGATACCTCGCATCCACCACCGCCGAGTAGTGCAGCGGAAGAGACGATCGGCGGCTCGCCCAGGGGGGAAAGGCAAAGGGAGCGGGCCTTCTCAGAAAGCTCGGAAGGCCTCTGGCCTTCTGAGAAGCTGTCTGAGCCCTCTCCGAAGCCACGGGGGGTGTCTCAGAAGGCTGGAGGGGTTTCTGAGAAGCCCCGCCGCCTTCCAAGAAGGCCTGCCCCCCGTCACCTCCCCCCGCGACGCGCTGCCGAGACGAGGCCAGGCCGATGTCTTCGGCGAACCGCCTCAGCTTGTACTTGTTGTCCAGGCGCGTGACGATGTCTGGGTCACACGTGGAGCGACCAGGGACAAAGGGCCATGCCAAGATGACCCAAGATCGATTCGGAAAATCGATCCAGCGATCAAAACAAGTCGAACCGGGACAAATCGGCGAGCAGATCGAAGGCATCGGAATCGAGGCGCGGCAGCCCGAACCGAGGCCTGCACGAAGAGATCCAAGCCGAAGTCGGACTTCGAGGTCGAATCACATCGAAATCCAAATCCTCGAGATCGAATCGATTCGAATCGACGAAATCATAACAGCTCCAGCCATGCGCACGGGGACGCGGCGACCTCTGCGCCGTGGCCGACGCAGGCCCGCCGCCGGCCGCGGCACAGCGCGGGGAGGGGAGGGCGCTCGACGCCGCCCTGCGCGCGGGCAGCCTGCGCGCCAGCGCGCCCGAGAGGTCGACCCGGCTTCTCCTCGTCGCTCATGTAAGGACCCTCCAGCCAGCCCCCCGCACCTCTCGGGAGCGGCGAGCGCATCCGCATCCGCGCCCTCGCGGTCTGGACTCCGGGGCTCCAGAGCGCGATCCCGCGGACGCGCGGTCCCACGAGCACGTTCCGCGCAGGGCATCCGCGAAGAAGCGCCCCGCATCCGCGGGTGGTTGACCAAAGGCCCGGCCCGCGAGGCCGGCCGCGGATACGGATATGTCTTCCGCCACCCGGGGCCCGCACCTCTGGGGGGGGCAGAGGAGATCGGGTGCTGCAAGTGCCCTGGCCCAAAGTACCCCCGGCTTCTCGCGCTGTTCGGGGGTCTTTTGGGGGTCTTTTGGGGGTGCTGCAAATGTCCTGGCCCAAAGTACCCCCGGCTTTTCGCGCTGTTCGGGGGTCTTTTGGGGCCTGTGGACCTCGGCCTCGTGCGCAGAACTCCTAAAGCCACATGGGCAGAATGATCCCCGGTCGAGGGTTCAGAGGCCGCCCCCCCTAGGATGGGCCCCAGGGTTCCACAGGCCCCCGCCCCCGAATTGGATGGGGGAGGGGACACCGACGCCGACGCCGATGACGACGACGACGCCGACGCCGACGACGCCGACGCCGTCGCCGCCGCCGCCGCCACCGACGACGACGACGACGACGCCGACGACGCCGACGGCGACGGCGACGGCGACGGCGACGCCGACGCCGACGACGCCGACGCCGACGACGACGACGACGACGACAACGACGGCGACGACGCCGACCCGACGACGATGACGCCGACGACGACGACGCCGCCGACGCCGACGACAACGACGACGACGCCGACGCCGCCGACGCCGATGCCGACGCCGACGCTGACGCCGATGCCGACGCCGACGACGACGACGAAGACGCCGACGCCGACGCCGCCGACGGCGGCGACGACGACGACGACGCCGACGACGCCGACGCGACGACGACGACGACGCCGACGCCGCCGATGCCGACGCCGACGCTGACGCCGATGCCGACCCGACGACGACGACGAAGACGCCGGACGCCGACGCCGCCGACGGCGGCGACGACGACGACGACGCCGGGACGGACGCCGACGCCGACGCCGACGCGACGACGCCGACGCCGATGCCGCCGCCGCCCGACGGACGACGACGACGCCGACGACCACGACGACGACGACGACGCCGACGGCGACGACGACGCCGACCCGACGACGACGCCAACGACGACGCCGCCGACGCCGCCGCCGACGACGACGACGACGCCGACGCCGACGCGGATGACGACGCCGACGCCGACGCCGATGCGACGCCGCCGCCGACGCCAAAGACGCCGAGGCCGACGCCGCGACGCCGCAGCCACCGACGACGACGCGACGCCGACGCCGACGCCGACGACGCCGCCAACGCCGACGCCGACGCCGACGCCGACGCAGACGCCGACGCCGACGCCGACACCGACGCCGAAGACGCCCACACTGACGCCGCCGCCCACGACGACGACGACGACGACGACAACGACGACGAGGACGACGAGGACGACGACGACGCCGCCGACGACGACGACGACGACGCCGATGACGACGCCGCCGCCGCCGACAACAACGAGGACGACAACGACGACGACAACGACGCCGACGACGCCGAAAACGCCGAAGCCGACGCCGCCGCCGCCACCGCCGAAAACAACGACACTGACGCCGCCGCCGACAACAACGAGGACGACAACGACGACGACAACGACGCCGACGACGCCGAAGACGCCGAAGCCGACACCGACGCCGCCACCACCGTCGACAACGACGCTGACGCCGACGCCGACGCCGACGCCGACGCCGACGCCGACGACGACGACGACGCCGACGCCGACGCCGACGCCGACGCCGACGCCGACGCCGACACCCACGACGCCGACGACGTCGACGACGACGACGACGGCGACGCCGACGACGACGACGACGACGCCGCCGCTGACGCCGACGCCGACGACGAGGACGAGGACGGCGACGACGACGCCGACGCCGACGCCGACGCCGATGACGACGCCGTCGCCGACGCCGAAGACGCCGACGCCGAAGGCGAAGACGCCGGCGCCGACGCCGCTGCCGCCGCCGACGCCAACGACGACGACGACGACGCCGCCGACGACGACGACGACGCCAACGCCGACGCCGACGTCACCGTCACCGCCGCCGCCGCCGACGACGACGACGACGACGCCGACGACGCCGACGACGACGACGACCCCGCCGCTGACGACGACGACGCCGACCTGACGACGACGACGCCGACGACGACGCCGCCGACGCCGACGACGACGACAATGACGACGACGACGACGCCGACGGCGCCGATGACGACGCCGATGACGACGCCGACGACGACGACGACGACGACGCCGACGACGACGCCGACGCCGCCGCCGCCGCCGACGCCGACGCCAACGCCGACGCCAACGCCGCCGCCGCCGCAGCCGACGACGACGACGACGCCGACGACGCCGACGCCGACGACGACGCCGAAGACGAGGACGACGACGACGACAAACGACGACGCCGACGACGCCGACGCCAACGCCGACGCCAACGCCGACGCCGACACTGACGCCGCCGCCACGGCCGACGACGACGAGGACGACGACGACGACGACGCCGACGTCGACGCCGATGACGATGCCAACGCCGCCGCCACCGTCGACGCCGACGCGAGCGCCGCCGCCGACGCCGACGAGGACGACGACGCCGCCGACGCTGACGCCGATGCCGACGCCGACGCCGCCGCCGCCGCCGCCACCGACGACGACGACGACAACGACGACACTGACGCCGCCGCCGCCGCCGCCGACAACAACGAGGACGACAACGACGACGACAACGACGCCGACGACGCCGAAGACGCCGAAGCCGACGCCGCCGCCGCCACCGCCGACAACGACGACGCAGACGCCCTCGCCGCCGACAACAACGGGGACGACAACGACGACGACAACGACGCCGACGACGCCGAAGACGCCGACGCCGACACCGCCGCCGCCACCACCGTCGACAACGACGCCAACGCCGCCGCCGACGCCGGCGCCGACGCCGACGACGACGACGACGACGACGACGACGAGGACGACGACGACGACGACGCCGCCGCCGCCGACGACGACGACGGCGACGACGACGCCGACGCCGACGCCGACGCCGCCGACGCCAACCCGACGCCGAAGACGCCGACACCGACGCCGACGACGACGACGACGACGACGACGACGCCGCCGCCGACGCCGCCGCCGCCGCCGACGACGACGACGACGACGACGGAAGCCGCCGACGCCGACGACGCGCCGACGACGACGACGCCGACGCTGGACGCCGCCGACGGCGCCGAAGCCGACGCGGACGCCGACGCCGACGCCGGAAACGCCGACGCCGCCGCCGCCACCGCTACCGCCGCCGCCGTCACCGCCGCCGCCGCCGACGACGACGACGACCTTGACGACGACGATGACGACAACGACGGACGCCAGACGAAGCCGCTGCCACCGCCGCCGCCGACGCAGACGCCGAAGCCGACGCCGACGCCGGCACCGAAGCCGTCACCGAGCCAAGCCCGACGACGCCGCCGACGCCGACGCAGACGCCGACGCTGACGCCGACGCCGACGCCGACGCCAACGCCGACGACGACGCCGACGCCGACGCCGACGCCGACGACGACGCCGACGCCGACGCCGACGCCGACGCCGACGACGACGACGACGCCGCCGCCGACGACGCCGCCGCCGCCAAGACGCCGCCGACACCGACGACGACGCCAGACGCCGCCGCCACCGCCGGCGCCGAAGCCGCCTCAGCCGACGCCGACGCCGACGCCGACGACTACGACGAAGACGACGACGACGACGACTACGACGAAGACGACGACGCCTTCGACGACGACAACGACGACGACGACGCCGACGGCGACGACGCCGACGCCGACGCCGACGCCGACGCCGACGCCAGCGCCGACGCCAACGCCGCCGCCGCCGCCGACGCCGACGCCGACGCCGACGCCGACGCCGACGCAGACGCCGACGCCGACGCCGACGCCGACGACGACGCCGCTCTTGACGCTCTTGACTACTTCGAGGGAGTCCCCCGCTCGCACTAGCGAAACCCGACGCGAGTCGCCCCTTAGGCAAACTCCTCGGGGAAGAATCCCTCGGCCTCGTCCTTCGGCTTATAGCCTGCGAAGAACTCAACGACTGCCGAGGGAGAAACAAAACCACGCAGGGAGGCCACTGCAGAGTCAAGCAAACGCGGCACCGAAGTGCCGTACAAAACTGGCTGGACAACTGACTGAGCATCCCCACTGCTACCTCCTGCCGCCCGCGCGCCTGCGGGCTCGGGCGCGGTGAACCGCGCGTTCCAGTACTCCACGGTTCCTTGTTCTGGCGCGCGGACGTCGACCAAACGCGCTGGGTGGCGGGGGGCCAGGCCGCGACGGAGACGGGCTCTCTGCGCCCCCAACCCACCCGACTGGCTCCCAAGACAGAGCCCGTCCAGCCCAAGACCGAACTTCACCGCGCTTTGAGCCGAGGCGCCGCATTTCTTACGAAAAATCAGGTCGGCCTCTGGGTCGCCTCCAGGGCCCAGGGGCGCCGACGAGCCCTGCGCGATGGAGTGGCCCTTGAAAATCCACGGGGTGCCTGCAAACTCGACAAGGGCTTCGCCCTCCCCAGCAGCCCCCTCAGGAGCAGCAGCGGGGGGCGGAGGCTGAGGATGGGGAGGCGGAGAGCGGGGGGGGGGGCCCTCCAGGACACACCCCAGGCACACCCTGAAACGGCACTGTGCCTTCCTCCAACGCCGCCTCTTCCAGGTGCCTCCAGTCCTCCGAACTAAACTCTAGCGTCGCATCCGAGGTCCCAACAACTCCCTCAGAGTCAACGAAACCCCCATCGACGCACAACTGTTCGGCCCTCGCATGCCATCTGGATATGTCATAGGCCATGGCCTCGACCCCCCGTGCAAATGCGAGCTGCTGTGGGGGGGCCGACCATTTCAGCGCACCTCTTTT